AAAGATTTACAGCCTCTGAAACCTAATGGGGGTCTCTGTGAGTTGGAAGCCATCCCACTGCAGTGAGTTTGTTTTTGGGTTTTTCTTAGCAAGAGGAACATAAAGGCTACCTAATGTCACCAAACTTTGTGACATCGTTTTAACTTTTCTACGATGACCAAAAGAGCCCTGGTGGCGCAGTAGTTAAGCGCTCGGATGCTAACCGAAAGGTCAGTGGTTGGAACACACCAACTATCTTGTGGCAGTCTGCTTCCCTAAAGATTTCAGGGTGGGAAACTCCACGGGGCACTTCCACTCTATCTCTTAGGGTAACTGTTGTTATTTGCCGTGGGTTTCCGAGGCAGTATCACTACGGAAGTAGATTGCCCAACTTTCCTTACAAGGAGTTGCTGGGGGGTTTGAACTGCCCGCCAGCCTTCTGGTTAGCAGTCAAGTGCCTTAGGCACTATGCTACCAGAGCTCCCTTAGCGTAACTATGAGTCGGAATTGACTCGTTGCCAATAGGTTTGATGATAACCGAATGGAAGTTGGTCTAGACCTTGGTCCATCACCCAGGAGCATCGCTGTGGTCAAACTACCCAAAAAGCACAGAGCCCCACATGCTCTCCTCATTGACTACCGCAGGGGAGGTGGGCGGGGCGAACGCGGGCATTGCGGCCGTCCCACCAGGTGGGGGCGCCCACCGAGCGTGAGGAGCGCCTGATTGCGGGGATGGTACCAAAGAGCGAATGAGTGAGTGGGTGGGTGGGTGGGTGAGTGAGTGAGTGTGTTTGTCCGTCTGTCGGCCGCTCCGCGGGACACCTTGAATGCCTGGCAGCTGGACAGGGCGGGTTAAAGAGTGCCGCTGCTCCTGATTGGCAGTCCAGGGCAGCTCGTGCCGGCAGGCGGGAGCGACGCGTTGGCAACAGGCGCACCGCCTCCTAATTGGCTGGTGACAGCGGCGGGCAGCTCCGATTGGCTGGGCGGGCTCGCGACACCCAGCCCGGCGCCTAGGAGGCGTCAGGCCGCCAGGAGGGACCCTGGAGCGGCGGCAGCGA